AGTTACATTTGCTAGCTTTTCTAATGCTAAATCAAATTGATTAGAAAAATTTTCTACAGCTAGCTCCCAAGATGCATTAGAATCATTAGCTAATGGTTCACTTTCTAACTCCCAAGGCAGAGGTGCATTAGCTAACTTCTCTATTGCCAACTCCCAAGATGGTTTTGATTCATATTGGACACTTCCAGGTTGGTAATCATAAAAACATGAATAATCACTATAAGTACATTGATCATCCCAACCATAAGCAGGAGAATTGCTCCAATTAGCACTATATTGATCAAAACAAGGATTGTAATGCTCTAATTCATCATAATAATCCACATTTTGTGCTTGCATACATGTATTAGTAGCATGATAACTTCCACACAAGTCACAAATCACATGATAAGAATTAAAAACATTAGCATTCCTCCTTTGTTCAATTTCATGCATAATTGTGTCCATTTGAACTTGTAACATCATAACATCAAATTTAGCCTTTAAGCACCTTAAACCATTTTCAAAAGACATACATTCAGTAAATTCTTGGTTACCTCTATTGAAGGAGCTTTGCACTTGGTAACCATCCATTGTCAAACCTCCATTTCTCAAGCATTGTCCTCCCCTGGTTTCTACTCTCCTTGATCCCCTAAACATGCTCTCAAAGTAGCTCAAAAACAAGTTTAGTCAAGAAGAATAGATGACTTTAAACATACAAAAACAAGACATTAAACATAAAAGACTCAACAAGACTCAAAACAAACAAGACACTTAACCAACAAAAACAAGTGAAATTGTCTAAATTAATAAAGTTGCTTTTCACACCGATATTGCCAAATCTTCCCCGGCAACGGCGCCAAAAACTTGACGGGTATTTTACATACGTGCAAACTAAAAAATACCGAATTACACCCGTTCACTGCAAGTATACAGGTCAACTAGTAGTTTAGGGTATATATCGGGTCGATCCCACAAGGAAGAGTGAACAATTACCGGTATTACTAAAGCTTCTCTATTATTTAGACTATCAATGAATTATAAGAAATTTACCCTACTGAAATTTAACAAATAAAAGCTCCTTAGGTTGTGGTATCCCTAACTACTCATGCAAGTGCTATTTTTGGATCATTTAGTACTACATCTAGGCTAGTTATAGTGTAATTTCCTTAAACATGTGAAACCTACTTTCGTAGTGAATCAACTATACTCATAACTAATCCATACCTATTTTCATGGTTATGAAATTAGCTACAAGTTCATTTCTTCAATGAAATTACATGAAATGAATCACTAAAAACCACATAAGTGCACCTCTACTTTCGTGAGTGTACTCCCTATGTTTAGCACTTCTTGAACTAGTGTTAAATCTCAATTTTCATTGCAGAAACAACACCTTAGATAATCACAATTAATGGTACCAGATTAATCATGATTTAAGAGCCAAAGTGCTAAATAACTTGCTCAAATCATAGCAATCAAATAACCAAATAATAAACACTAACAATCATAGAAAGTTCAACCAAACCCAAGGCTTAAACTTTAGAAACACATAATGAACACAAAATCCAGAACTTGTATATTAACTAAACTTGGAATCAAATACAAAAGATAAAGAGTTTGGAAGGAATACAACCCTTGTCACATGAGCTTTCTTCCTTGCCTTCTTCATCCTCCATCTTCATCCTAATCTAGATAATAAACAAGAATGGAAAAGCTACACTACTCTATACTAAGCTAAACTAACACTAGGAAGATGAAAGAGCTACATTTCTGCAGACTCCAAGTTTTCTCCCGTAGCTCTCTATCTCTTACTCTATCATCCTCTCCTTGTTGCAATGAATTTGGCTATTTAATGATGAAAGGTGGTCAAGAAATGAAGCTTTACACTTTCTCCTTACAGCTGGTAATGTTTCTCACATGTCTAGCATCCCATGTGAGTTGGTGGAGGTGAAATAGAGTTTTACGCGTATAAAGCAGCCTTCTCTGACCACAATCCGGCCAGGAATCCGGCCAAATTTCGGCCGGATTGCTACAGTAAATCTGGGCTGCTACAGTGATCCGAGCTGCTACAGTACCTCGGATCCACTAACCCAGAAACAGCCGAGGGTTCGGATGAATAGTGGATCCGAGTGTGGATCACTTGCTCTGTTTTTGGCCCAACTTCAACCGATCTTTTCTTGATGTTAGAGGCTGAACCAGCTCATATCTAAAACACGAAAGTTGTAGCCTTATGCGTTATCATTCCAATGCATCAAGAATCACCTCATTTGGATCTGTGTAGGCTGAGATATGATGGAAATACCCTTGCCTGCTCCATGCCTTGTTCCAGTTTCGACCAATAGCAATTGACTCTGTACTTCGGCTTTTTGACCTGGAAAACCTTCAAACTGGATTCAGATGTCTTCACCAAAGTTGTAGATCTATCTCTTATCTTCAAATGGGTTCAAGAATCATCCCAATCCGATCATTGTAGCTCAAGTTATAGCCGAAATACGAAAATGTGTCAAAACTGTCAAAATACACAAAATCCAAGTAAAAAGTGATAAAAACCTCATTTAACCACTTAAAAGCATTTTTTACCAATTATAGCCAAATGATTCATATTCTTCCAATAATATAACCAAAGTGACTAAAAATAATATGAAATGTCATACAATTATTACGTAAATTAGTCACTTATCAATTGCCCTAAATATAAAATTGTTTACCAAGTGGAGGGCATTATAGGTATTTTATTATGTCAAGGGAGGTAAGTGTAATTTTTTAAACTTAAGGAGAGCCGATTGAAATTGTCAAAAACCTCAAGGGAGGTTTCTGAAACTGTCCCTTATTTCAACCAAAATATTAGGATCAATTTGGAAGAAATGGCTGAGATATTAGTATAGGTGGCAAATCAACCCATTTAATTAAATTTACCCATACCACCCATGAATAGATGGGTATGGGTATCTTAAATTTTTGCATATGTGTATAAATGGGTTACCCAATATTACCCATTTATTAAATGGATATTATTGGGTAACCTATCAAACCCAATTAACCCATTTAAAATTGTCTTCTCCTAAGTCTCCTCTTTTTCCCCACCCATTTTTTTTTCTAGATTTTTCATTTTGTCATGATGTTAACTACTTTTGTTTCATTATTATTATTATTATTTGTTGTTTTATCTTATCATTTTATTTTCTCTTAATTTGTTAACTTGCTCATTTTTCAGCATTACCAATTTATGATAAGTTTTAGTCTCTTTTCCTAACTTTTCAAATGAAATTTTAAATTTATACATGAAAAAATGTTAGGGGTTCAAAATTTTTGAATTAAGTTTTTATGTTAACTTTTATAGTACTTAATTCAAATTTTTATATTCTTATTATTCAATTATTAAATAATATGTAATTTTGCGACATAAAGTATGGATGGAAAAAATTTGATAATTAGACTTATTGAACATTATAAGTAAATATTTAAAACTAGTAATGAGTGCAAAGGATGGTATAAATTGATAACTTTTTTTTTAAGAGACACAATTATTTATTTATTTTTTTAAAAAAAATCAAATATTTTTATTCAAAATAGGAAACGTTACACGCTGATAGTAGCACTCGGCACCCTAAATCTATGGAAGGAAGGAAAGCCAAGCTTATTCAATCAGTACTCACCCCTAGCTATTACAGGCAATTCAGCTAAACATTCATAGATACAAACCAATTGATGAGGATAAGCAGAACCTGCCTTTGCCAACACATCCGCGACCTTGTTTGCTTCCCTATAACAGTGTGCGAGCTGAAAACCTCCCTTAGCCACTAGCTCAATCTTCCCCACCTCTCGACTAATTGCCCAAGGGCACTGATGATTCTTCAGCAGAATTTGTTGTAACATCAAGGAATCTGTTTCAACCTCCAAATTACCAATGACACCCCGTTGCACATATAACTCCAGCCCAAGTAGTAATGCCTTGGCTTCTGCTTGCAAGCTGGTACAAACCCCAAAATACCCAAAGAACGCAAATACCATACATCCTGCCAAGTTCCGAAGAATCCCCCCCCACCACTCACCCCCGGATTGCCTTTCGAGCAGCCATCAATATTGAGCTTGACAGCGCCAGGCCATGGACCGTGCCACCTAATTTGTCGAATGAGGACGGTATCAGACCGACCCTCCACCGAATCCAGGAACGTAGGCCAATCCCACATCCGCTGGACCTCCCCGAATTTTAGCCAATAAGCATCCTTTAATTCCCGATAGACGGCCTGGAATACCTCTGCCGGACTCTGCACCATCCCCTAGAATACTGCTTTATTCCTAGCCTTCCAAATGTGCTAACAAATGAGACTAGGTAAGAGCCGAAACACAAACCTAAGCCTCTCCGATTTCACCAGCTTTAACCACCAACTAATCAACCATACCCGGATATGCCCGACATTAGGCACCAACCCACAGAGCGAGCCAAAGGATTGCCACACCGACGTTGCAAGGTCCCCCTCCAAAAACAAGTGGCCAAGTGATTCAAAGTGCGATACCGGGCAACACGAGCACTTTGATGGTAGCTGGAACCCACGCGAAGCTAACACATCGTCCAAGGGAAGATGATTAAATAGTAGCCGCAGCATAAAGAAAGACACCTTCAGGGGCACACTCGTATGCCATATCTGCCGAAATAAGAAAGACGGCGGCTTCATCTCACGGACCTCTCTGTAAGCAGACGAAATCGAAAACTGTCCCGAACTGGATGCTAACCATACCATTTAAGCTGGGGAGACCCCCCCCCGGGCCAACCACCCCCAGTACCTGCTGCACCATGTCGATCGGCAAAAACTCCGCTAGCTTCGACGTTATCCATTCGCTATTCTTCATAACGTGGTGAAATGAGATGTCCTCCCGCACCTCCACCCGCAGATAAAAAGCCCCGTGTCCAGTCCAATTATCATACCAGAAGTTGTATCTTCCATCTTGCAGATTCCACCCAATCAACAACTCCGCCAGCCCCCTAATATCTAGTATTCATTTCCAAGTTGCCGAGCCTAAGCAAGACGCAGCAACTTGGCACGGGTGGATCCCCGTGCAATACTTAGCATGTAGGAATCTCGCCCATAAGGATAAGCCACACCGGAAATTCCACCATAACCTACAAGAGAAAGCCCTATACGTGTCATTGAGTGGCCGAATCCCCGCCCCACCTTCTTCTGTAGGGTAACACAAGTCCCTCCATCGGATCCAATGGAATTTCTTCTTCTCGCCCACTGCTCCCCATAGAAAATCTGCACATACCCTTTCAAGCATTCGGAACACTCCTTTTGGCATGACCCCCACCGCCAGCAAGTGGATCGGTATGCTGGACAAAACATACCTAATCAAGACAAGTTTCCCGCCAAAGGAAAGGAGACGGGATTTCCAAGATAGCACCTTATCAAGAACCGTCTGGCATAAGTCCGAGTAATACACCTCCTTAGCTCTACCAACAAATAAAGGGGCACCTAGATGCCGAATTGGAAACTGCTTCCTTTGAAACTTGGTAACCTGCTCAATCACTCCAGTACGAGCTGATGATGTCCAAGGGTGCACTAAATACCCACTCTTCTGCACATTAACCAACTGGCCAGAATCATTCTGATACCACTCCAATACCCGCATGATTCTCTTCAATGCAGCCGCACTCCCATTGGCAAAAACCATAACATCGTTAGCAAATGCCAAGTGCGACACAGGGGGACAATGCCTAGGTACCGTGCAACCCACCGACCTCGACAGGGACACAAGAGAATTTAAGGCTCAAGTGAGAACCTCTGAACCAATAATAAACAGAGCGGGCGATAACGGGTCCCCCTACCGCATCCCTCGCGAAGATTTGAAGAACCCATGAGGCACACCATTCACCAGCACCGAGAACCAAACATTGGAAATCAACCTCCATACCATGTCAATAAACCTTTCACTAAAGCCAAACTGGCGCAAGACTGTAATGATGAACATCCAGAAGACCCTATCATACGCCTTAACTATGTCCAGCTTAAGTGCCAAGTTCCCCCCTGCACTTCCTTCCCATATCCGACATCAATTCCTGAGCCAACAAATAGTTATCTGACATAGACCGCCCTTTAACAAACCCACTCTGCTGAGGGGAGATGATACGAGGTAGAATACCTGAAAACCGCCCTACCAAAATTCTAGAGATAACCTTATTCAGAAAGTTGCTTACACTAATAGGTCTAAATTGAGTAAAGTCCTTAGGATTCATGACCTTAGGAAGGAGAACGATAGACGTCGCCGTAATGAAGCAAGAAAGCTCTTCCCCACAGAAGAAGCTCACAATCGCCTTGTAGATATCTTGTGCCACCATTTCCCAAGCAGACGTAAAAAATTTTTCTGTGGAACCATCTGGTCCAGCGGCATTGTCACCATCCATCTCAAAAATCACCTTCTGTACCTCATCCACAGAGGGGACCTCCTCTAAGCCCTTATTATCGATAACATCCCGTAGATTGGGGATAACATGGAGGAGACGAAATTCGCCCACAGGGTCAGCCGAAAACAAGGTACTAAAATAGTTTACAGCTTCCTTCCCAATCCCTTCCTCATCCATCACCCACTCCTCCCTTGAATCTTGAATCCTATGAATTGTAGATCAAAAGCGACCCTGCTTGACCACTGAATGAAAGTATTTCGAATTTTGATCTCCGTGCTGCAGCCACTTGACCCTAGCCTTTTGACTCCAAAATTGCAATTGACCCTATAAATTGATAACTTAGTTTACAAAAATGAATTTAAATGAGTGTACAAAAAGTTAAAATAAATGGGTTTTAAATGGGTAATTGGGTTACCCAATTCATTTTTTAACTTATCCATTTATACCATCTAATTAAATGGGTATAAATAGGTTGACTCACTTATACCCATTATCCATTTTACCCAACTCAAACCCGCTCAAGTCACCCATTTTGACACCTCTAGATATTAGGGATCAATTTGCTGCACACTCAAAAAATTGAGGATTGAAATTGCAATTTTCTAAAATTTAATTTATACTCGTACCTGAAAGAGCAGTTTTCTGAAAACAAACCGCTCGGTTCAATTGGATAGGTTAATTCGGGAATCAATAATGGAACCGAGCCAATTATATAGTAAAGTCGGAATTAACTTAAATCCTTGTCATAACTGGTAATACCCAGCAAAATGGGTCAGATGTGGTTTTGAGTTGTAATATTCATCTAGTCCTATTTTACAACCAATTTAGTACCCGTACATAAGCCAAGCCATTTGTTTTCTCTATAGTGTCATGAAATACCAGTTCAACCAGTATTTTGATCCATTGATACGATTTTTTTTGGTATATTAGTACTTGTGAATTTGTGCAAATATGAATAATTCAAAAAAGATAAGACAACATTCTTCTATATGTGACAGCCTATCTCCCCCTAAGGCGAACCAGAGGGTTCTGCGGACCGCCTGCCCATCTCTCGCCAGGACTATGGAGTCAAAACACTCGAAAACCCTATGAAACGCGCGATTGAACTCCAAGAAACCAACAATCGGAGATTACTACCCCGAAAACATGATTACCAAACCATACGGTGAAATGGAACTTCAACTAAATGCTTCAACGAAAGTGAAAACGAAGAACGAAAACGAAAATGAACAGTCGCGGCCACATCACAATCCGGCCAAGATCTGGCCGGATTCAAGGCAGTAACGAACCAAATTTTTCTACCATCCCCTGCCAATCTGGCCAATCCGTCATAAATTTTTCTTTCCTCTTTCAAATGCCGCGCTCGCCCAATCGTCCAACAATTACAAGTAAAGTTCACCAAAGCCATAAAACGTACCATCTCATACGAATACACTCAATGTACATGGTTGAACACTTATATACATATATTGAACAAATCAAAATGTGATATTTAATTAATATACAATTAGGGTTTCTATTACAAAGGAGCTTAACAAAAGAACATTTACACTAGCTCGACCCTTTCTTCCAAAATCATGGTTTCAAAATTTGCCCCTGTAAGAAAAACAAAGATAATGGGAAGGGGGTGAGGTTACGCTTAATGAGGTACCCAAAACACAAGCAATCATGAACCATGGAGATTTACTTTCAATCACTCAAATAGACACGGCAAATAAAGAAATAAATAAACATCTTAAATGGAAAGAATACAGGTGGTTCTCAAGAGCCAAATTCCCATTGCAGTACTTGATCCAAACTCGTTGACCCTCCGTCAACGTTTAATGAAACAAACATGTCTGTAAACCCCTCTTAGAATGCCCAATTCCGTTCACCAAACATACCCCTTGCCGGGCTCGAACTCCAAACAAGAACAAGAATGGTAATACTCGAGTATACCGAGAATCCAGAGTCTCCAATACCCAGAAATTTCCCAGGAACAGTCCCCATGGTTTGTCAATTTCCTCGACCAAGCCATTGTTAGCTCGATTCAATTAACTCCTCATGAAGTTTGAGCTCAAGGTTAACAAGAAGGTCGTTGGATACACCTCCAAACGACATCAAGTCAAGCACAGTAACAATTTCCAGTCTATACAGTAAACAGTCACACGGGCAAGAGAACAAGTAATAGGTTCAAGTAACAGGTACAAGCACGTACAATGACTCGACAAATAAGCAAGAGAGACGAGTGTGATGAAGTACACCCTCATCTTGTCCAAAATTAAGCAGGTATTACAGTCAATCAAATCACATTTTACAGGTATAGGTAAACCAGTTAAGCAACAAATCATGTGAGTGGTACACTCACCAGTTCAAGTAAGGATAACTTCAAAAGTTTCCTCCCAAGAAATGCCCTTGACCACCGACACGTCCTAAGAACAACCAAGAAACAATTGAGACTCGATTACGAGTCGTACCTATTCAATAACTACTAATGCAAGGCAAAATAGAACTTGGGAGTGAAAATAAGTAACAATTGGTGCCAAGGGTATAAACGACCACAAAACCTTTCATTTCTACTCAAAATCAACCCAACTCAAAGGAATCGCGTAGTCCTAAAATTTTGGACAGCATGCCCTTTGTATTTCGCTATATTCCAACCATTTATGGCTTCATTTTTTTTCCTCAACTCAGCCCAATTCAACACATAAATAAACTTAATACAATAACTCTTCAACTAGGCTCAAAGTCATCCAAATACAAGCCAATTCTAGCAATGCACGCATCAAAATCAAAGCTGGAAACCAGTTTTAAAGACGAATGGCTAAGTAGTAGGTTTGACATCTCTTGGCGTTTTGGTCACAACTGAAGCTAGGATTATTGGATTGGGGTAAATTTTATGGTGTTTCGAAGCTAAGACATATACCTACATTTCCTATGAAGACATAGACACCCAGATCTTGCATTTTCAAGGTCAAAAATAGAAATCTCAAAGAAAACAGAAAACTGTCCGTGAACTAGGGCATTTGGGCAGTCAAGGGTATTTTAGTCATTTCACAGTCTAGAGTGTTTCGATTGAGCTGAAATTTTACAGGAAGATAGTTAACTCAATTTCCTACAACTTTTATGTTTTGAGTAAGAGCTGATTCGGCCTCTAACATGGACGAATATGAAGGTCAGAAACAGGGCAGATTCAATCCTAAATGGAAACCCTAATCTGAAATTTATACATACAAGCTGAAATTCTTTGTAGACAAGTAAACCTAGCATATAAAAGATCAATATTACACATAACAAATCTATCAATCTAAAGCCAATCATTTCTCATCACTTAAAGGCAGAAAAATCACTATAAAACTGAAAATTCCATAATACTACTTCAAACTATGAAATATTCTCATAAAACTACCAAAACTACAACCTTAAGCCACTAATTTGAAGTTATTAAAAGCAAAGAAGGAGCTTCTTAGCAAGTTACCTTGGAACCTCAAGAAAAATGGTAGTTTAGTACTTCCTCCTCCAAAATAACTCCACAACTACCTTGGAGACTACCTTGGCTAGCACTTTTATGGAGTGATTTGCAAAAGTTATGGTTGAGATTCAAGATTGAAGCAAGAAATTGAAGCGAAAGATGAAGTCTCTCTCTCTTTTCTCTCCCTCAAAGTTTCGGCCACTCTTGTAGAAAAATCAAGATGATTTTGGTCAAAATGTGATATTTAGTAAAGGTGAGAAATTGGTCAAAGTCCAACATCCATTGCTTTCTTGACAAATGTCGTCCTAGGATTTAAACCTCATCCTGTTGTCTACCAATAGTTAATTTATCTAACTAACCTCTAATTATCTCCTAACACCTTGTAAAATATAATCTCCCTTTATGCAAAACTTCACTTAATCGTCAAATTTCATCGCACTAACCGCACTAGCGGGTCCCATGTCCTTAACACACTTCCAAATTAACCTGGACTAACTTGTACTAGAAAAATGTTTTAAAAACTATATTCACTTATAAAATGTCTAGAAAATTAACATAGTAAAATAAAATAAAGAAAATGTATGAAAAGAAATAGAATAAAATGATATAAAATAAGAAAATTTTACGGGTCCTCACACTATATTTCATGAATATTTGTGTTAGAAAATGAACGTATCTTTGTATTCAAGTACCAGATTAATTTTTGAATTACAATATTATTCATTAAATATGAAACATGTACGAAAAATTGACAGATATTCTTGAAATTAATTATTAGATTTTTATATGATTAAAAACCCAAATCTATATACCTGTACTCAATTAAATACCAAATATGCAAAAATATATTTTTTCCATGAAAAAAATATTAACTTCAACAGACCAAAGAAAAGTTGCAGAATATATATATATATATACACACACACACTTATATGTATGTATATGTGTGTGTACATACAGTTCAACAAACCAAAGAAATAGATGCAAAGTCAAAATATTATTATTAACTGGGGCCTCAGGTACACTTTTCATATTTAATGAATAATATTGTAATTCAAAAATTAATCTGGTACTTGAATACAAAGATACATTCATTTTCTAACACAAATATTCATGAAATATAGTGTGAGGACCCGTAAAATTCCCTTATTTTATATCATTTTATTCTATTTCTTTTCATGCATTTTCTTTATTTTATTTTACTACCTTAATTTTCTAGACATTTTATAAGTGAATATAGTTTTTAAAACATTTTTCTAGTATAAGTTAGTTCGGGTTAATTTGGAAGTGTATTAAGGACGTGGGACCCACTAGAGCGGTTAGTGCGATGAAATTTGATGATTAAGTGAAGTTTTGCATAAAGGGAGGTTATATTTTACAAGGTGCTAGGAGATAATTAGAAATTAGTTAGATAAATTAACTATTGATAGACAAAAGGATGAGGTTTAAACCCTAGGACGACATTTGTCAAGAAAGCAATGGATGTTGGACTTTGACCAAGAAAGAAATAGATGCAAAGTCAAAATATTATTATTAACTGGGGCTTCAGGCACCATGTGAGATAGTTCTCTCGCTCTCCGGGATTTGGTCTGGCGGTTGAGGTTGCTGAAGATGGAGTCTTAGGTCCCTGGTTCGAACTTTGCTGCCAGCCAGTTGTGGAGGGTGGGGAATAGTCTGCGGGGTCTACTCCCTGCGGGACACCCCTAAAAAAAATGATAGTTCTCTC